CCCCTTTTTTTTTTTTTTTTTTTTTTTTTTTTTTACCCATTCTGGAAACATGAAAATGCAGGATGTATTTTTTTTCCTGCTGTTTTTCCACAGAACCAAATCCTAAACACACTGCTTAGGCATTTCTTTAGGATAGCTATATTGGTTTTCTCTCATTTTTGCAATAACGGCCATCACTCGGAGGAGGAGGAAGGGTGCAAAGATTTATTCGTGTTGGAATTCTAAGTGGATTTTTAATATAGAGAAAAAGGCGAACCGTAATTTACCAGATTCTGCAGTTTTCTTACTTTTTTTTTGAATTTCAGAACGTGGAGGTTGTTGATTCTGAGCCAAATCCCATCCGTGATAGCCATCATGCAGGACTGTTGCCACATTCGCCATGCTCAGTAAGTTTTGCTGAGTAGCAACGGGGTTATTAAGCTATACACTACGTTCCTTAAAAAAATTTTGAGATTACCTAGAGTAATTTATATTAAATGCTTTTAATATCCTCATCCTTCACACGAACACATCAGATTTTCGCATTTTTCGGTAAATTTCATAATTCTTCAATAACAGTTTCGATAACTTAAACGGACCGAAACATTTCTTACCATTATAATAATCTTATTAAAATAATTTTATCGCTTTTACTAATTTCTTAATATTATTATTTTCTCTTCCATTCTTCTTCCTACTTCAAAATATCTTTCTATTACAAATCAGTGATAAACAAAAAGCTAGAATTTCTAATTTTCTTTCTTTGTGAGAATCGAAAACACTCGCAAGTAAAACATGGAACATGCAGCCCCGTGTTGCTTTCAGAATTCTCCTGAAGAATTGGTGTGCGGTGGAGGTGACCAGGATGTTGCTGGCGCTGCTCCCGGTCAGTCCATTAATTCCCGGAAGAAGCCATCCGTTGAATTGTCAGAGGTAAGATTTATTTTCTGTGGCAAAGTAAGTAAAAATCTACCCCTCCCCCTTCCTTTTCATTGTTCCATATTTTGTCTTTGTTTACAGCTAAGGGATGAAACATATACTGCCTTAAAATCTCTCTGCTACACAGAGCATTTATAATGATATTATAACAATTTTACTAATTTTGAACTAAGTTCCTAATTGTCATTTCCTACCTCCTTTTTGATTCTTCTTATTTCATCTCTTGTTAATATATCTTTTTATTTTGATTAATTCCTTATCATTTCGTGACATTTCATCTCTGTAAAAGACAAGGGTAATTGGAAACATCTGTTCTAGTATCAGTTCCTCTATTTTGTAGCACAGCCTTCAGCTCAGCGCCGTGGAATGTTTTTTCATGGGCCATGAATAATCGCTAAAAATACTCAGTGTTCTTAAAATTACTTTGAAAAATTTTCCTTTTTTTTTGATTTTGTTGAAACATTTCTCTTTCACTGCTCTGTTTTCACTTCTTTCCAGCTGCAGCTAAGTGTTTTCGAGAGTGCTGAGTCCCATCCAGCAATAACCTCATCCAATGTATCTCAAAAAAACGATATACATCACGACGATTCACTGACGTTAATATCGAGTGATTTCGAAGTACTCCGTCAGAGCGATTCATGGTACCACATTTTATTGTTGTTGTGTTGAAATATCAAATATTATTATTTTTGTCGTTATTTTTTTTTTATAATTTCAAACGTTTTCGGTTACAGTTATTATTATCATCATTATCATTATTGTTATTATTATTATTGTTATTGTTATTACTATTATCGTCATTATTATTATCATTATTATTATCGTCATTGTTATTAGTATTATTCTTATTATTAATTTTATTTTTTTAGTTCGATGGCCAGTAGTGTACCAGCGAAGGTTCTACCTGTTGTGCCATCAGATCCATCTGTTGTTGATGTTAGCCAACATACGGCAGAGGTCAGTTTTTGCTTCTTTCTTTTATGTGAGCCATTTTTTTTTTTTGTCCTGTTGCGCCTAGCATTCGAACCCGTGGCCCATTGATATAATTAG